TTTTTTATTGACGAAATGAAAATGATCAGACATTAATGATTGATCCAGAAAAGCTTTATGATCCCTTTAAATGTAACAGGAAGTGATCCGTTACCTTTTCATGCTATAAAGTCAATCTAAACGGGTTCTGGACTCAGACGTTCTGGATCGGCTCTGAAACGTTTTCTGACCAATTTAAAACCAAAACGTTTCAAAAATGAGAACAATAAAATATTTGTAACGTTTTTGGCTGATTGCTCTGAGGTCCAGATGATCCCATCTTCTCTTCTTCGCTGCGTTTTCGTCTCCAGGTGGTTTTTATGTCTCAAATTGTCTCCGTTCTGTTTACTGTCTGTCATCTTCATCACCTTCATCATCCTCTCTGTCCCCTGGGAGCCACTGAGGCAATGAAGGGCCGCCGCCTCATCTGATCGGGTTCAAAGGTCGCAGGACTGAACATATTCGACCTCTAGTTCTTCTCCTTCATCTTTAGATAACATAATCAATCATCTTCTATACGAATCAAACAAACTGATTGGACCACAGAACTGGGAACGAACCCAGATTAAGGTGACTTTCAGAAATCATCATCATCATTATTCTGGGTTCAGCTGCTTGTTTCTATCTGGCTGCTGATTGTCCAACCGCCAGAGTTTCTGCTCGTTTCAGAAAGTCAAATTCCACTAACTGTACTAACTGTAGAGCCATATCACAACTAAACGAGCCAAGAACTAATGTTGTGTTTCTGTTTGTGGCTCCTGGCAGCAGATCTGAGTTTCTCACTGCACATGAAAACGTCACCAGCCAACCGCCCACAAATTTACACAAGGAAAGCACTGAAAACTTAGCTAGCTAAGGTCTGTTAGCAGCTAGTTAGCGGTAGCCTCAACCACCTCCAGTCACAGAACGAATGAAGACTCAAACTTTCGCCTCACAGAAAAATCTCAAAACAACAAAAAAAAAAAAACATGAAATATTTCTGACAAAATGTTAAATCTGTGATTAACGAACTTCAGGCCAACTGTCTGCAAACGACATGAAGAAGTTTTTGAGGCCTTGACTTCAGACCCGAGTTCTACCGATCACCGTCGATAAAAACCGGGTTCTGGTTCTGCTGCAGGTTTCTTCCTGTTAAAGGACAGTTTTCCTCTCCTCTGTCATCACATGCATGCTCAGAACAAAGGATTGTGTAAAGTCAATAACTCAACACAAGAGATGTTCCTGCTGTCGCCCCCTGCTGGTCAGGAGGACAGGATCGATCTCTGTTCGGTTTCCTTAGGAACTACTGAAACTAATTAGAATGAATTGAGTTTAATGATTTGATTAATAACTTTCATAAATTGTACAATAGATTTAAATTCTTTCTAGCTGTAAAGTTCGTTTAGTTGATATCTGTTTGAATTTGTTGCTTTAGAAATAAACGGAGCTGAATTGGAATAAACAAACTTTAAAACCCAAAGATTAATTTTACCTTCAGTCCAGGTAAAAAAATAAAAGGAACACTCAAACAACACAATATAACTCCAAGTAAATCAAACTTCTGTGAAATCAAACTGTCCATTCAGAACAGTTGAGATGGTCCAATTGTTCTGTTCTGATATTGATTGACAATCAATATCACCTGCTGTTGTGCAAATGGAACAGACAACAGGTGGAATTATTTCATATTTATTTCATTCATTCAGATCTAGGATGTTATTTGAGTGTTCCTTTATTTTTCTGAGCAGTTTATAATCTGTCACATGAAATAAAAACTTATTTTTATGATTCACACTTAAAGGAACTTTGTTCAAACTTTTAGATAAAAACATTTAGTTTTGTTTTTAGCTTTTATACATTTTCATCAAATAAGACATTAAAGTGTTTAGAAGAGCCTTAATAATGACGCAACAAAATGAAACTTCAGTGGTTTTGTGATTGATTCTTTGTGAAGATTTCCTTCTGGTCATTCTGACGTTTTTAATGATGAATTTATTCCTCTGATGTGTTTTGAGTTATTAATCAGAGGAATAATCTTCATATTCTGAAACTAAAACCACATTTAACAGAAAAATAATGTCACAAGAGAAATGGAAACATTGGTTTATTAAATATTTGATGTGTGTTAGATAATATTCTACTTGTCCGTTTTTCCACGGTAATTAACACATAAAACCAATTATTGAAGACAGTTTATTAGAGCGAGGCGGTTTCCTGGACGCCGCTGCTTACTGACCAGTGAGGCTGCGGCCCGTGGCGGGGGTGTCTGCAGGGCATCCGCAGGGGGTCTCCGTCTTCCTCCCTCCTCCTCTGAGACGACTCGCCTCCTCCCGTCTGCTGCGCTCTGGCGCTTTCTCTGGGCGGGGCAGCTGAGCCTTCACCTTCTCAGACAAACCGTCTGCGTCTCTGAACACGAGGCACAGAGAGGCTGCGTCACCAACCAGCTGCTTATTGATGGCAGAATGTCTTGTTTTATATGTAGAAATGATTCAAACCACTAAGGAGGTTTTCTGTTCTCAGGCGAGACAAACGAAGCTGGTAACAACCAACCTGTCAAACGTGGTCAGCTGATCGGCGTTGACGTATTCGCTGACGTTCACCATCAGGTCTGAAACCTGCTTGGTGCCGGAGTTCTGCAAAACGACAGCAGCTTTTAGTCAGACGTCCTGCTCCCAACGCCAGCCATGTGTTTCAACCCAAAGAGACGACACTGTGCAGTGATGAGTCGCTGCACGGTGGCACAGTTGGTAGCACTGAAGGTCTGGTTCGATTCCCAGCCCACAGTCCAAAAATAGGACTGTTAATTGGCCTGTATAATTCTTTTTAGGTGTGTGTGTGTTGTTTGTCCTGTCTGTCTCTCTGTGTTGCCCTGCGACAGACTGGCGACCTGAGAGTGACCCTGCTTCTCAAAAGGCCCTCCTGACCCCACCAGGGACAAGGGTGCAAGAAAATGGATGGAACACCTGATGACATCATCAGCTCTGCTAATCCGTCTCATCTGCTACTGCTGCTCCTTCAGTCTCTGCCTGGCCGGCCGGAGCCTGGAGCCAATGCTCCATGGAGCCTCCTATTCAATTCCTTTGGGATTTGGGGGTCAAAGTTCAAGCCTTATGCTCAACTTTTGACCAAAGTCAGGGTTTAAAAGGCGACCAAATACAAAGGGAACTTGCTATTATAAATAATTACAGTGGCAATATAAATAATTTTTTTTTTATTTGCATTTGAGCTAAAAGTGAAGGTTTGACCTGATTTAAACACTGAAGAAGAAAACAGCATCAACCCTGCGTCAGCTATTTGATTTGAACTGCAGACAGAAGCCTGTCCTGTCCTCCTGTCCTCAAGTCTGGCCCTCCCATCCCATCCTGTCCTCCTGTCCTGTCATTTATTACCATTAGGTCCTGTCCTCTGTCCTACCATTAGGTTGAAGATGAGCGTGGAGTCCACAGCGATGGCCTTCAGGACCATCTCAGTGTCCGCGCCGCTGGTTTTGTAACGCAGGCTGTACAGCTCCTTGTTGCTGCTCCAGTCAGCAGGAAGCAGCTCTGACTTTTTATCCCGACTGCTGGGCTAAAATACAACAGAGAGAAAGAAAAATAAGAGACTGAGTTAAAGTAGTGACCATGGTAGAGTCCATCCTCACGCAGAGACCTCCCAAAGATGACCAGACAAAGTTTCCCTGGATAAAACGGACTGATTTATGCTAAGCTAACGCGCCTAGCATTTTGTGCTGAAATGATTAACAACGTCTGGATGTCAATGCGCATTCGGACTTTAGCTAAACTTCTACATAATAACTCCATTAAAATAACAAACTGTTTCATATCGCCCCATCTTAAATTCAGCATAAAGCCTTTCTGCTACTCCCATTCGACAACAACAACGAGCCAATTTATTTCTTTATTAATGCGGTTAATAAGTGGAGACCTGTCGCCATGTTCAACCGCCCAGACTGATCGAACCTCTGCTGATCAACGGCGAATCAGTTCAAACCATTTCCGGTTCCTCACCTCGTCTCCAGACCCGATGCCGGTAGCCATTCTTTATCATCTCCCAGTGAACGAAGCACACGACGGCGTCCTGCGGACACTCGATTTGACCTGCGACACAAGTGAACAGCGCCTCCAAGCCGGCCATCTTCCCCCATCTGTCGGTTTCCAGCTCCGCGTCCACACCGGAAAGGAAAACGAAAGTCTTCACTGAGGTCTCATAGCAACCACAGCTACTTCCTGACAGGAAAATTCAAAATAAAAGCACAAGAACCTTGTCAAATCGAGTTAGTCACATTAGAAACTAATTTCAGTGTATTAGAAACTAATACACTAAAATTATTTTGGAAGGTGTAAGTTTGGGATGACAAAGAGGCTGTTTTATGTGCAACAAAATATTAAATTGTATATAAACTTTATATAGTTATAATAATAATAACACATCTATCTATCTATCTATCTATCTATCTATCTATCTATCTATCTATCTATCTATCTATCTATCTATCTATCTATCTATCTATCTATCTATCTATCTATCTATCTATCTATCTCTATCTATCTATCTATCTATCTATCTATCTATCTATCTATCTATATACAATATAGCAGTGAAAGTTTTACCATATATTCAATTAGTTTTCAATCGCACTTACTTTTATTTTCTGCAGAGAGAACTCTCTGGAACCTCTGCTGTATTTTTTCTAACTTTACGGAAAGTTGGTTTTGTTTTGATGCAACACATACAGTTTCCGGAACAGAACTAATATAAGAAATATCGTTCCGTTTTAAGTGTTATTTTATATTTGGTCTTTTTGTATGGTTACAGTAAAACAAACATTTTTATTAAAAGGATAAATAATTATATTAATGTTTGTTTAAGAACAAATCCATTTCTGAAATAAATAGAAAAATAAAATGCTAATTTAAATGTAATACCGTAAACTTTACTGAAATGTTTTTTAATGATAGTTTAATTTTTAAACAGGTCTGTTTGCTCCCACATAGGACTTCATTTCCCATCATCCCCCTCGCAGGTCGAGCGCACAACGCTTCCTGGAGAAGATGGCGGCTTCCTTGTCTCTGCTTGTGATTGTCGCCGTCACAATCCGCGCGGCTCTGTTCAGATCCGGCCTCGCGGAGCTGATCGCGGAGCGGGTGGAGGTGGTGTCTCCGATCACCGCCTGGAAGCGAGGTAAGACGGCCCGGTCGGAGCTCCGCGGCCTGTTTCCAGGCCCCGCCGCCTTCCGGTCCGACGACAACCGGTGAAGTCAAACCGGTTCCTGTGCTGGAGCGTCCACATCGATCCGGGTTCAGTCCAGATTCACACGGAGCGAGCTGTGAGCAGGGGCTGCTTTAAAGACAAAACGATCATTCATGTGTTTGTTTTTGTTTCAACAAATATCTGAGTTTCTGTGTGTCATCGGTTCAACAACCAGCAGAAGAACCGAACCGAACCGAACCTGAAAACTGCTTCCATTTGCATCAACTCTTCACTTTTATTCCGTCAGTTCAAAAGTGCTCTATGGAGCCAAAGGGAAATGAAATGTGTTTGCTGTATCTCATTGTATGAGTGACATCCAGTTGCATTAGATGCTTCAGAAGCCAAACTTTTTCAGAAATCTCCAGAACTCAGAGAAAAACTGCTTAAAATGCAGCTGCTCTGATATCTGAGATGGAAATGTGTTTCATCCAATGAGAACTGGGATCTGCTCAGTTTTCTAGTTAATTATAACTTATTTTCTAAAGTTTCTCCTCTGAAATGTTTTAGTTGTCAGATTTTAAAAGTACTTTAAGCAGGAGAAAATGGGATTTTCTTTCAGCTGTCTGTCTGTCTGGTGACTAAAATGTGTTCATAGTTTGATGTGATCATTTTTAATTAAAAATACAGAAATATTTGGTTTCTGTCTGCGTCCAGTTTCATCCCAGAGTTTTAGATGTATTGTATTTTATTGAATCATATTCGATCAGCGGTGACGGAGCCACGTTGTGTCTGTTTCTGGTCAGTGATCGAAGGTTTGGCACTGCTCGATCTGGGAGTTTCTCCGTATTCCGGCGACGTTTTCCACGAGGTAAGACATCAAATCTGGCTCTTGATGTACATGTTGGGAAAAACCATTTTAAAGTACATGTAGATTTGGATATTGTTGTGATTTTTCTATTGTCTTTGCCTCAGTTTTCAAACTTAAAGAGTTTTTGAGATTTCCTTTCAGAGAACAGTTTCCTTGTTTTATATTCCAGCTGAGATTAATTTTATTATTAGACATTTATTCCATCTGACATCCCATGCTTGATCTTTTTCTTTCCTGCAGACTCCTCTCATCATTTACCTCTTTCACTTTCTGGTGGATTATGCAGAAATCACATTCATGGTAGGAGGAATACATGAGTGCAGAGAGGAGAAAGTCCAGTTTTAGTTCTCTTATTGTTTTCTATGTGTTTTCCTGTTAGCTGGCGGACGTGATCACAGCCGTGGCTCTTTACATGGCCGTGAAGGACTTTAACAAACAAGTGGTGAGAATCAATCTGTAAAGAAAAATACATGATGTGAATTTTTAATTTAAAATGTATTATTTATGAAGCTCCATATGTGTCTGTAGAATCTTGTTTTAGTTTGATGTTATGACTGTCAAAGAAGTATGTTAAAAACCTCATTCGGTATATCTAATATGTTAAAGGTGAGCTTTCCGTTGATAAAACATTTTGTTTTTGTCCCTTTCAGTTCAGGAAGCAGAAGTTTTCGGTGGAGGCGGAGCGATACCCTGCAGACTGCCTGGAGCTCATCAGGAGCCCCACTGAGATGTTCTACATCCCCTGAAAGTGGCCATGTTGTAAGTACCTACAGCACCTGTAGAGGGCGCTCTCAGCTAAAGACTCTGCAGCAAAAATGTTCATCAAAATTCACCTGAAATAACGCTCTTTATTATTAACTCAATGTTTGTTCATGATTGAAATGTTTTAGTGTTTGAACTGAACCGACTGATAGTTGAAGCAGTTTTAGTTATTTTCTTCTTGTTCTCTGGCAGTTACCTGCTGAACCCGTTCACCATCTTGTCCTGCGTTGCCAAGTCGACTTGCGGCCTGAACAACGCCGTCATCTCCTTGTTCGTCCTCACAACCATAAAAGGTCGACCACCCAGCCAGGCTCTGGGTGCTGCTGAAAGAAATGCTTTGCATGATTTACTTCATGCACAAACCCTTTCATGTATTTATTCAGATTTATTGCTGCAGTTAGCATTAGCATAAATTATTTTTGTCATAGCATAAATTATTCTTCCATGAGTTAACTGGGCAGTTTTATTGTTTCATTTTCTCTCATTATAGTTTGAACTTTGTGGTTAAATCTTCATATTTTCTGATTTTATTATTTTCTCATTATTTATTATTTTTTCAGGAAACGTTTTGCTGAGCGCCATTTTTCTCTGCTTGGCCACCTACCAGTCCATCTATCCTCTGACGCTGTGCGCCCCCGCCATGCTGTATCTGATGCAGGTACGCTGCTTTGATTAGTTTCTGATGCATACTTCCTGTTTCTGAAGCGTACTTCCTGTTTCTGAAGCGTACTTCCTGTTTCTGAAGCGTACTTCCTGTTTCTGAAGCGTACTTCCTGTTTCTGAAGCGTACTTCCTGTTTCTGAAGCGTACTTTCTGTTTCTGATGCATACTTCCTGTTTCTGAAGCGTACTTCCTGTTTCTGAAGCGTACGTCCTGTTTCTGAAGCGTACTTCCTGTTTCTGAAGCGTAATTCCTGTTTCTGAAGCGTACTTCCTGTTTCTGAAGCGTACTTCCTGTTTCTGAAGCGTACTTCCTGTTTCTGAAGCGTAATTCCTGTTTCTGAAGCGTACTTCCTGTTTCTGAAGCGTACTTCCTGTTTCTGAAGCGTACTTCCTGTTTCTGAAGCGTACTTCCTGTTTCTGAAGCGTACTTCCTGTTTCTGAAGCGTACTTCCTGTTTCTGAAGCGTACTTCTTGTTATCGCTGACATGTTTTGCCCTCTCCGCCGGCCTCCGCAGCACCAGTACGTCCCGGTGAACCCGCGGCGCGTCGCCTTCTGGTGGTTCGTGGTTCAGTACCTGTTCATGTACCTGGGCAGTTTGTTCGTCATCGTCTGCCTGTCCTTCTTCCTGCTCGGCTCCTGGGACTTCCTGCCCTCCGTCTACGGCTTCATGTGAGTCAGAAAAACAAACCAGAGATTTCTGGACCATCAGAACCGATCTAATGAACAAGTTCTAAGGAGAACTGCATTTCCCTGACTGCTGAATGTCAGGCGTAAAGTTTGGTGGAGGGAAAAATTCTGCTGTTTTTTTTAGCTTGATCTCGCACTTCCTGTGGTGGGAGTTACAGTGCAGCGCCCTCTGATGGCTGAATTTGGCATGACATTCATCCCAACCCTTCCTGGCTGTGGATAGAAACACAGTTTTCTGTTTGTCCACCAGAGGGCGCTGTCGGTCATGTTGTTCCTGTGTTTTTTTTCAGCCTCTCAGTTCCTGACCTGACGCCCAACATCGGCCTCTTCTGGTATTTCTTCGCTGAGATGTTTGAGCATTTCCGCCTCTTCTTCCTCTGCGTCTTCCAGATCAACGTCTTCTTCTACACCGTCCCTCTGTGCATCAAACTGAAGTCAGTCCTCCCGTCTCATTAACCTCTGACCTTTCCCTGCGCCCTCTAACCCCTGTGTGCGTCGGCCTGCAGGGACCAGCCGGTGTTCCTGATGTTCATGCAGCTGGCGGTGATCTCCATCTTTAAGTCTTACCCCACGGTGGGCGACACGGCGCTCTACCTGGCCTTCCTTCCCGTCTGGAGCCACCTGCACAGATGTGAGTGTTTACTGCACACCTGGGTCATGGCAGGGTCATGGTGGGGTCATGGTGGGGTCATGGTCGGGTCATGGCGGGGTCATGGTGGGGTCATGGCGGGGTCATGGTGGGGTCATGGTGGGTCATGGCGGGGTCATGGTGGGGTCATGGTGGGGTCATGGCGGGGTCATGGTGGGGTCATGGTCGGGTCATGGTGGGGTCATGGTGGGGTCATGGTCGGGTCATGGCGGGGTCATGGTGGGGTCATGGCGGGGTCATGGTGGGGTTATGGTGGGGTCATGGTGGGGTCATGGCGGGGTCATGGTCGGGTCATGGTGGGGTCATGGCGGGGTCATGGCGGGGTCATGGTGGGGTCATGGTCGGGTCATGGTGGGGTCATGGTCGGGTCATGGTGGGGTCATGGTGTGGTCATGACCTCTGTAAAAACTTGAGATTTGTTGTGAATATTTTGTATTCTGCTTTTAAGTGTTTTCATTGTGTTGGTCACTTTATTAAATGTTATATTAAATACTTATGAAGATTATAGCAGGCGGGGTCATGGTCGGGTCATGGCGGGGTCATGGTGGGGTCATGGTGGGGTCATGGCGGGGTCATGGCGGGGTCATGGTCGGGTCATGGCGGGGTCATGGTGGGGTCATGGTGGGGTCATGGCGGGGTCATGGTCGGGTCATGGCGGGGTCATGGTGGGGTCATGGTGGGGTCATGGCGGGGTCATGGCGGGGTCATGGCGGGGTCATGGTGGGGTCATGGCGGGGTCATGGTGGGGTCATGGTGGTCATGGCGGGGTCATGGCAGGGTCATGGTGGGGTCATGGCGGGGTCATGGTGGGGTCATGGCAGGGTCATGGTGGGGTCATGGCGGGGTCATGGTGGGGTCATGGTGGGGTCATGGTGGGGTCATGGCGGGGTCATGGTGGGGTCATGGTGGGGTCATGGCGGGGTCATGGCGGGGTCATGGCGGGGTCATGGTGGGCTCATGGCGGGGTCATGGGGTCATGGCGGGGTCATGGTGGGGTCATGGTGGGGTCATGGCGGGGTCATGGCGGGGTCATGGTGGGCTCATGGCGGGGTCATGGTGGGGTCATGGCGGGGTCATGGTGGGGTCATGGTGGGGTCATGGCGGGGTCATGGTGGGCTCATGGCGGGGTCATGGTGGGGTCATGGCGGGGTCATGGTGGGGTCATGGTGGGGTCATGGTGGGGTCAAGGGGGGTCAGCAGGTCAGCGATAAGAAAGTTCAAATCTGCTATAATTTAAGATGCAGCACAAACTTTTGCTTTTGATTAAAGTAACCAACAAACATCCAGTGGATTTAAAGGAAGTCATTTTTTTTTGAAGTCATATTTGATATAAATAACAACTGAAGGCAACATGGCGCCCATGGAAAACGGCACCGTCCCTTTAAATGGCGTTCAGATGTGCCTCACATACTGAACATTTTCAATTTTCTTCCATAATTTTGTGAATAATAAAGGGCAAAAAAGATTATTATTTTGCGATTTTAAAAACTCCAGGCTGATTGTCCGGGTGTGCAGCGAGAACATCTGGGCTCACAGTTGAGCGTTTTACCGCCACAGTGGGCGGGGCTTATCTCCAAGGTCATTTCACAGTCCAGAAAATGACAAAACACTCAAGTTTAAAAGCAAAATTAAACTAAAAGAAGGAAATAGAAGCGATGAATCGGATTAATCAAATAATCAACTAATTTAATCCCAGATTAAATGGAAGTCGAATAAATCAACACACTGGAGCAGAAATGGAGCCAAAACTATATTCAGTAATTAAGATCAAAACATTTTAGCTAAAAGTTTTATGTTCAGATTCTACAGTGAAAACTTTAATTATTAGTTTACTGTTAATATATTTATAATGTTGCATAAAAAGTCTGAAGTGGATCAATGAAGAATCTGTAGAATGGATCAATTGCTTTTATTTGATTAATCAGAATAATTAATCACTAAAATCAATAACATTCGTGGAGATTCCTTCCATGTATATAACTCACCACTGGTTATTGGTGATTTATTGATTTGTTGGTTGTTTAATAATTTATTGGTGGTTTATTGATTTATTGGTGATACTGCCTTCCTGTCCAGTCCTCAGGAACATCTTCCTGGTTTCCTGCGTCCTACTCGCCTGCTCCGCTCTTTTCCCGGTTCTCTGGCATCTCTGGATCTACGCTGGAAGCGCCAACTCCAACTTCTACTACGCCATCACGCTGCTCTTCAACGTGGCGCAGGTAGAGCAGCAGGGCGGGGCTGAAAACACGTTTGCATCGCTGCATCCGATGCTCAGTCCACGTCTGGAAACCTGCTACTTATATGACAGTAAAAAGAATCAAACTTTCTGTGAGTTCCTGCTGAAAATGTGTTTTTGCTTCCGGTCCAGATCCTGCTGGTGTCGGATTATTTCTACGCCTTCCTGAGGAGGGAGCACCACCTGACGGCCGGACTCTACCTGAAGAAGAAGGATGGCTCCGAGGCGACGCTGGTGCTAAAATGAAACGCGCCCTGATCAAACCTGATCAAACCTGATCAAACTTGATCAAACCTGATCAAACCTGATCAAACTTGATCAAACCTGATCAAACCTGATCAAACCTGATCAAACCTGATCAAACCTGATCAAACCTGATCAAACCTGATCAAACTTGATCAAACCTCTTCAGACTGGAATGAGGAGGAATAAAAACGCTGATGCTGCAGAACTCGAAGCGACTCGCCGCCGTTTCCGATGAATGAACTTTGAACTGTTGAGGAGGGAAAGTTTCGTCTGAGAATATTTTGTTCAGAACTTTTTCTGTTGAAACGTAAATGTAAGAAACGTGTGAATGTCCAGAGAAACGCCTCAGCTTCACGTGGTTTTTCCGCTCGACTTGGTGGCTTTTCATTTCTCGGTGTTGTGAGCAGATTATAAAGCTCCGAAAGTTTCAGTTATTCGTTGGATCTTTTCTGGGATGAAAACAACAAAACTTGATTTTGTTATTTTGCAGATTATGGATCAAGATAAAATTGTCCAAGCTGCAAAAACACAACATTTATTTGTGTTTTTTTTCTCATTTCTTATAAAAAAAAAAGTCTTATAACACTTGGAATAATATGAAGCGAAATGAATGTGACTTTTCAGCTAAATGGTGATCCATATTTTAATTCAATAATTATTTGATTAAAGTCCTGTTTCCACTGGCAGATTATTAAACTTATTTACATGGAAAAACGTCTTACTAGTGAAATAATCTGCAGGTGAAATGATTATTATTGATTTAAAACAAGGTTTTTATCTGTTGCTCAGAGTTTGTGGTGTTTTTTATTTCAGGTTTTCTGAGGTTTGGTTTCACATTAAGGGCTCAAATGTTGAATGTTTGCTGCTTTAATTTGACATTTAAAAAATGTTTAAATTTCAAAACATTTAAACTTTATTTTTCTTCTAAATTCTGAACATTTTGATCAGAAACTTTATGCTGTGAAGTTTCTTCTGTTTTTTATTAATGGCTGAAATTCTCCATAAAGTTTTTATGAACTTATAACCATTTAAACATTTAACCTTTTATATGCATAACAAGCCTAATTATTGTTTTCTCTTTCATAATTACACTAATATGAAATGCTAATCTGTAAATTCCCAGATTAGCATTTAAACTTAGCTTAGCTTAGCTTAGCTTAGCATGAAGACCAGAGTTTGGATGATATGTTGGTTGAAATTAAAATTTTGCTCCATGCAGGTAAAAGTTTTCAGGTCCAAACGAATCTGAACATTTTGCCTTAAATTCTGAAAAAAGCAAAACTGTTTTCCACCTAAAATCTTTGTTTTCTCTCGGCTGATTCTGTTTCACAGTTTAGTTTGTCATGTTTACTAACTGGAAATGATTTATTATTATTATTATTATTGTTCTCAGTTTGAATCATTTTCACCAATCAGTGTTTTGTTGAAAAATGAAAAATTTGCTTTAATTTTACTGAAAAATTTTCTTCACATCTTCATGTTGATGGAAAAATGCAACAGTTTGGTTTTTATATTTTCATCTGAATCTGATTTTATTTAAATGTTTTGTTTTTCTGGACAGAAAATCATTCTGAGGTTTTTGAAAGGAACAAAACGTATTTTTATTTGCTGCACTGAAACTTTGCAACAAGCTGATTTTATTACTTATATTTATTGTAATATTTCATTTTGTGAACATGTTCAATCGGTTTGTGGTGTAACTAAAGCCTGAGGTTTTGCTTTTACTGGTTTTTCTGCTGTGAGTCAAAAAAAGCAACATTTTTCAGTTTCACCATAAACATTTATTTAATTGTTAATTAATGCAATAATTGAACTGACGATGGATCATTCAGGTCTGTTTCCAGTTTCTGCATCCAGAAAACGATTCTGATGATTTCAACATCAAAAATATTTAGGTTTCAGAATCAAATATTGATCCTGAACTGAGCTTTAAAATAATTCTGATAAATTTCAGATGTTTAATCTGTGAGATTTCTTGCTGAAACCTCTCAACGTCACACACCAGCTCCTCCCAAAAGATGATAACCAGTTTAATCTGTAATGACTAGTTAATCTGTGATAACCAGTTAATCTGTGATAACCAGTTAATCTGTGATAACCAGGTAATCGGGACACAGACAGGTGAGTCGGCTGTTTTCTCATTCCTGTTAACTCTATAAATGCTTCATCTCGTCTGCAGCTCATCACTGCAAGACCTTCACATTTTGATCTCAGAAGATTTTTACAGAATTTGACTTTTTTTCTCAGGCAGAACACATTCATGGAGCCAGCAGTCTGCAGAGTGGTGGTCTGCAGAGTGTTGGTCTGCAGAGTGTCTGTCTGCAGAGTGGTGGTCTGCAGAGTGTCGGTCTGCAGAGTGTTGGTCTGCACAGTGTCGGTCTGCAGAGTGGCGGTCTGCAGAATGGTCCTGGTGGTCTGCAGAGTGTCGGTCTGCAGAGTGTCGGTCTGCAGAGTGTCGGTCTGCAGAGTGTCTGTCTGCAGAATGGTGGTCTGCAGAGTGGTGGTCTGCAGAGTGTCGGTCTGCAGAGTGTCTGTCTGCAGAGTGGTGGTCTGCAGAGTGTCGGTCTGCAGAGTGGTGGTCTGCAGAGTGTCGGTCTGCAGAGTGTTGGTCTGCACAGTGTCGGTCTGCAGAGTGGCGGTCTGCAGAATGGTCCTGGTGGTCTGCCGCGCCTGCATGGAGGCCTGGAGAAGACGGAGGTTCAGTCTGTGTTTGTTTGGGTCTGGACCACCAGGTTGTCGTCTGCTGGAACTCTAAAGCTCACAGCAGCCGCGTCTTTCGACCCGCCGGTGAACGGTTGCCTGGCGCTCCTCGAGGAAATGCTTCTGTTTGGACGCAGATCCAACGGCAGAAGACATTCAGAAACAGAGAAGCAGAATAAAAAGAGTCGGGCTTTTTCCAGGCCGAGGACGGGAACAGATCCATCAGGAATCATCAGAACCACGGAGGACGAGCTCAGAGCATAAAGCTGCAGCGCCCCCTGCTGACCACACCGGCCCAGCAGTTCCCAAACATCTGGACCGAGATGAAGACAACTGTAGCTCCTCCTGTCTGAGGATCTCACCTCCATGACCTCTGTGACCTCCATGACCTCCGTGACCTCCATGACCTCTGTGACCTCCATGACCTCTGTGACCTCCATGACCTCTGTGACCTCTGGGTCAGGGCAGAAACTCCCTGAAGACCCAGAGAGGTTTGACCAGAACTCCTGGAGACTTTGATTCAGGGATTCACAGCTGAGATGTGGAGGTCAGAGGTCACAGATCCTGGGAGTTGGTGTGATGAAGGAGCAGGTTCAGAGAGAAGGCCAGATGCATGCTGGGTAGAGGAAAAACCAGATGCATGCTGGGTAGAGGAAAAACCAGATGCATGCTGGGGTAGAGGAAAAACCAGATGCATGCTGGGTAGAGGAAAAACCAGATGCATGCTGGGTAGAGGAAAAACCAGATGCATGCTGGGTAGAGGAAAAACCAGCTGACCGTTCAGAACGACCAGCTGGTTCTCACCTTCAGACTCCATGGCAACCGTCTCAGATTGTTTTCAACTCGTTTTTTGGAAACTCATCGTCTGAATCTTCTTGTTTTTCTCGCTCTGACCTCTTGACCTGCATTTGGTTCTGCAGCTGACGCCGTCAGGCACAGGTTAGGCCTCAATTATTGTTTTGTAGTTTGATAAGTTTTGATCAAATTACATTTCCTTTGTGCATTGTCTCTATAAAATACAGAAATAAATAAAGTATATTAAATAGGACATTCATTACAAGATTAATGTTCCCATTAATCTTCCATCATCTTAGAAATGGTTCAAACTAATAACTATCAAGAATATCAGACAAGATAAGGATTGAAGCTGCATAAATGATACTCATGTCTCCACAAACATTGTAAACATTCAACATCTGATAAAGAATCAGCCAAATGCAACTGAACTGAATCTTAGTCATTTTAAAGAATAAAAAAAAAACATGTTTAGTTTCATCTTCAAACCACCTGAAGCTCAAATGTTTTTCCTTCACAGATTATCTGCTTTGCAGAACCCCAGATTATCGAGCCTCTGATTGGCTGCTGCTCATTATGACCAGCAGGTGGCTCAGCCAATGAGAGTCCAGATCAGCCTCAGTTTTTCCCACATGGCTGAAAATATACTGTTTATTCAACAATATGTTTCTATGCAAATTGAGACATTTTTTGTGCAAACTTGTTTTGCAAATAAACGTTTAATTACAAAAAATCAAAAAATAACCTAGTTAAATCGAAGTCAAGTTAAACAGTTTTATTTAATTTTATGGAGATTATTTAAATCCAAAATTATACATTTTATTCATATTGTCAAAATGTTTCCTACATATATTTAAAACAATGTAGTTTAATTACAGCGTTACTCATTTAAACTTTAGTAGAAAACATTTAGTTTGTTGTAATTCAGATTTTTATAAACTTGTGGCTGAAGGCAATAAAAGTTTAATATATCAAAAAATTACATCTTCATGTTCAAAAATGTTTCAAATATGGTTGAAAAATTTATATAAAACAACAATAAGGTTTATTCACTCTATCCTGCTGTCATTTTTTAGTGCCATAATTTTGTCTACTTCTGAATAAAGTTAGGAACAATTCATTAATATTCAGTATTTTGAGTTTTAAAGCAGTGATGGAGGAAACAGTTTCATTTGGATAAATGATCAAACTCTTGACTTTTATGAGTTTTGTGAATTTTCCTCTGAGTTCTTTGAAATGAAGGACAGAATTTGGACAAAATGTAAGTTTACAAAATACTTTAATGACTCATTAAAATGAAACATTGTGCTTTGGTGGCGCAGCGATTGAGCACAACTCACATATGAAGGCAGGTTCGATTCTCGGTCTGGTGACCTTTACCCTCTTTCCTGTCGATTAACTAATAAAGGTCAATAAAACATTTTTAAAAAATCATAATAAACAGTAGAAAAACTAAAATGTGTCTTTTTCCCTAAATAAACATGAAGAAAAAAATCTAAAGTCATTTTTGAGGTAGAGTTGAGAAATTAAAGTAACATTTAAAAAAAGAAAACAGGAATTAAAGTGTTAACTAAGCTTTAGTTGATAAAGTTAACTAATCCTGATACCGACTTTTAGATGGATTCATAAAAATCAAGATCTGATCAGAGCCACACAGGAAGTAAAGAAGTTTCACTTCCTGTCACATTTAGTTTGTAGCATCTGGATCTGAAGCAGAAAGCAACGCGATGATGCAAACAGTTTCAATCTGATCAATAAGGATCAATCTGATCAGAGCTGCTGTTTGATCACTGACATCTCCATCGGGAGGATCCTGGTTGTTTTCACCGTTCTGAAGTAAGGGAACATCCGGTCAGTGAAGGTGTGTGTGACGGTGTGTATGTGTGTGTTCGTGTCCAGATCAGAGAAGGACAGATTCCCTCCATCCCAGTCCAGATCCACTCGGATCCTCTGGATCTTCCTCTGGACGCAGAGATCAGCGGAAGGAGCCGACGGGCAGACAGCTGAGTAAATCCCTTCATAGAACCAGATGACCAATAACCCAGACTTTATGTCCCGCTTCCTGTGGACGGATTCGGCCAACACGCCCAGCACCCACACTCTGTTGTCTCCAACATCAACATCCCAGCTGTGGATCCCGGAGTTAAAGCCCTCGGAGCCGAGAACGGACCACTCTGCCCCAAACCGCTCCGGATTATCAGGAAGCTGCTGCTGCTCTCCAAACGTCCAACTGGTCAGATCGTCAGACAGATGGAGTCCTGAACCAGCCGTGTTTGGGTCCAGAACCAGAGGAGTGTAGGTCACCATGTCCTTCATGTTGCTCCAGATGTTGAAGGCCAGGTTGCCCAGATGTTTGGCCTGGTCTATCAGAGCTCCTGAGGGCAGCTGTGGATCCTCCAGCAGGGGGCAGCGCTGGACTCTTTCCACTGCAGCCTTGTAGTTGTGCAGGAATGAGACGTCTGCAGCTCTCAGCTCCTCCTCTGTGGCTCTGACTGTGTCTGAAAGAGCTGCTATCTCTCTGCTCAGAGCCTCCATCTTCTCCTCCATCATCCCTCTCTTCTGCTCCTCTTCCTCCCTCAGTGCAGCCAGCCTGGCCTCCTCTTCCTCTGCTAGAAACTGATGAAGCTTCTTAAACTGCTCAACAATCTGCCTCTCTGTGTGTCGGGCCTGGACCTTCATGTTTCTGCTGTCTGATCAAACTCCTCTTTAACTTCCTTCTTCTGCTCCAGTTTCTTCTTTTTAAAGGCTCCAGAGATGTTTTCAGATTCTCTCTGTGATCCTGAGCAGCTTCATCGATGGCTCTGAATCTGTGCTTGATGTGTTTTTCTGAATCTCTGCAGACGAGACAAACTGGCTGCTGATGGTCCAGACAGAAGAGTTTGAGTTTCTCAGAGTGCAGACTGCAGAGACTCTCTGAAGCTTTTTGCTCTAAGAATGATTCACAGAGGTTCTTCAGGGCCAGGTTACATAGAGGAGCGTCTGTTATGGATCTTTTCCTACAAACCGGACATGAGCGTCCAGCTCTGACTGTCCAGCAGGTCTGCAGACAGTCCTTACAGAAGCTGTGGCTGCAGGGCAGGATGACTGGACGCTTATAGACGTCACAGACCGGACAGCAGAGATCCTCCTCCAACCTGGATGCCATTTCTTCTCCGACTGAAACGAAACCAAAGTGGACAAAGCGTGAAACCAGGAAGTCATTTTCCTTCCAACACATCTTACTTCACTTTGATGTAGTTGTTGGTTTTCCATCTGCAGCAGTCTGTGTTTCAGTGTTTCAGCTCTCCCTCTGTTCCCACTGTTTAGTCTTACCTGACCAGGTGATGAAGATGATCCTCGTATTTATTCATGAAAAGTTTCTTTCTCTGTGACGCCCATTGAATAACTTCCTGTTTTCTTCAACAGTTCCTGGTGAAATTCCAGTCTTTAGGCACAAATATGGCGCCCTCTATAGGATTTCCTTTGTACCTGCAGGTTTAGAAGCGCCACTACCGCATAGTATCCATGTAATCCATCACGAAGTTCTCCATCTGCTAAGCAAAGCATTTCAGGAAAAGTTTCTGGACTTTATCCTGAAAGACCTGAGAATGGAAGAAAAGCTCCGCTCTGCAGGGACAACATTGATTTATTTAAGATTGATTGATTTATTCATTCTGTCACATCTTACATACTTGTTTCAAATGTGTTTTTATTATTTTTTTTCAGGTGATTTTTAAATATTGACCAAGGTTCTTTTCCGAAGTTTCTGCGTGTTTCTCTGTGAAACCCCGTTAATACCCGATGCCCTCTCATTCCGCCTCAGTCCAGCAGGTGGCAGCAGAGCAGTTCTGAGTTCACAGGTTGCTCAGAGATCACGTGACAGGAAGTGAAACGTGTACTTTACGACATTCACTGTGCTCTTTGCCTTGCAGTCAGAAGCTGTGGGACTTTTATTTTGTAGCCTCCACCGACAGGAAGTGAAGCATAAAATGTGACTTTGATCTGATGATGACCTGCGTCCGCATCAAAGTCCAAACTGAAAGCAACATGGCGGACCAGAAGAAGATCCTGTGTGTGGGTCTGGTTTGTCTGGACGTCATCAGCGTGGTGGAAGAATACCCGGAGGAGGACACCGACACCAGGTCAGAACCGGGTCAGGACCGGTTCAGGACCGGTTCAGGACCGGTTCAGGACCGGGTCAGGACCGGGTCAGGACCGGTTCAGGACCGGGTCAGGACCGGGTCAGGACCGGTTCAGGACCGGGTCAGAACCGGTTCAGGACCGGGTCAGAACCGGACCGGATGATGGTTCTGGTGGTTCTGGAGGTTCTGAGTCTAATGGTTTAACTGGGTCTATATTCTAATTTGTCATGTTAGTAGATGTATTTCTGAACGTAGCTGCTGTTGCACATGAATGTGATAAATTTTCACTTTAAATGAAGGTATAAATGTTTTTTCTGGAACGGAAATATGTTGGATTTTCATGTTGAAAATCCAACATGGAAAAATGAAATGTTACTCTAATAATTCTTCTGTAATGAGTGTAAATGTGATCTGTCTAAAAGCAGCCGATGCTAACAGGATAATCCTGAAAACCAACATGGCAGTGTCTCTAACCAACATGGCGGTGTCTCTAACCAACATGGCGGTGTCTCTAACCAACATGGCGGTGTCTCTGCAGGTGTGTGTCGCAGCGGTGGCAGCGTGGAGGAAACGCTTCAAACTCGTGTACGGTTCTGTCCCTGCTGGGGGCGCCGTGCGCCTTCATGGGCTCGCTGGCTGCCGGGCCGGTGGCGGAGTGAGTATCAGTTCGTCCATCAGATCACCCACAGAACGGACCAATCACAGCTCGGTCTGAGTCTGATCCACTCAGCCAGATTCACTGGAGAAATGATGATCACCACCCAGCTTCCTGATTGGTCCGTTACCGCCATGGCTGTGATTCCCTGGAACATCAGGACAGATCAATACACACCAGAGGCTTGGTCAGGTCTGTCAGCGTTCCTGCTGTCTGACCCAGATGGATCTGCAGATTGGTCCTCTGGTTGGGCGGAATGGGACGGTTCAGTTCCCACGTAGGACAGGACTTAAGGACTAAACTGTCCACTCTTGATGGAGTTCAGTCCTTTGGCTTGTGCTACACCACTAAAACCAGTAGGAAGCCATGTTGTGCACTGGGCCAGGTTTATCAGGACCTGCAGGTTCTGCGCTTGGTGTTGGACCAGTTTTCATTTACTGAAGTTCTGAATGTTATCAGGCAAAGGACGCCATACTGGCACATTTAATACAACTGCTGGTCCATCAGACACCTGATGGAGCCGGATGTTCCTGTCAGAGACATGATTGGTCCAGATGTTTGCTTTACATGAACCCTTTGGTACCAGACTGCAGGTGCAGCAGGTTCTGCAGGTGCAGCAGGTTCTGCAGGTGCAGCAGGTTCTGGCAGTAGAGTGGACCAGCTCCCAGTTTGCAGAGGCGACAGCCTGAATACTTTCTAACCCAAGATGAAAACTTTCCCTTCAGATGAAGCTGGTCCGACTGGGGTTATGCTGAGTTGTCTCTGTAGTCATGCTGTTACCAGCTGCCAGAGTACAAACTGCTTCTTCTCACTTTCTCCTACGATTCTCCAGTTTGCATCATTTGCTGTTATTGTTAACTTTTTGTTTCTTTACTTTCAGGGCAGGACCTTCCTTCAGAGCTGGAGCCTGAGGCACCCACCTTCCCCTGCCTTATGTTGTCTGCTTTTTGTTTTTTGAACTGAAATGATTGTGTTGTGCTTTCTGCATAATGACAAAATTTAAAATCATAAAGTCTGAATCTCTCCTGGACAAAGCTACTGACTAACTCTACCTGTTAGTTTATCCTGCAGCTTTTACAACCGGCTCAGCGCTAACGGTGTTTCTCTTCCAGATGAAGCAGCTGCTCACATGAACTGATTACTTTCATTGACACAGAAAGTTCTCTGGTTCCGTTCTTCTGATTCTTCTTCTTGTGTCTCTCAAACCTCCATAGCTACTGGTACTGAGCCTGGTTCTGGTTCTGCTGGAGGTTTCTTCCTGTTGAAAGGGAGGTTTTCCTCTCCACTGTCGCCTCCTACTGGTCTAAATGACTAGATGTTCATTAATAACTGGGATTGAATTGAAGTGACTTTGTCGCCTTGTGTTGTGATGCTGTAGAAATAAACTGAAACTGTTTCCTCTGTTGAATTCCTCTTTCCTATAGGAAAACCTTTTCCTGTCCTGATTCTTTTTTTTTTGAAGTGCTGAAAAGTTTCCTGTCTGTAGCTTTATTTTGGAGGATTTTCAGAAGTTTGGTATCGACGTGTCTCTGGTTTCTGAGCATGCTCAGTGCGTATCTCCGGCCTCCGTGGTCATCAGCAACATCCGCACAGGAAGCAGAACCATCCTGCATATGAACAGGTGTGGTGTGTGTGTGTGTGTGTGTGTGTGTGTGTGTGTGTGTGTGTGTGTGTGTGTGTGTGTGTGTGTGTGTGTGTGTGTGTGTGTGTGTCACTGATTGCCTCTGTTTTTACAGCTTCACGGTCATAGCAGAAGTTGCGCCCCCTGCTGTTCAGCCCTCTGTCAGAGCTTTTATTTTGAAGTAGATGTTAATGTTTCCTGTCTGTCTCTCAGTTTCATCATGGCCGACTTCTTGCAGCGTGCCATTGACGTGTCAGCAGTTGCTTGGCAGGTCAAAGGTCAAACTCCAAGTGCATGTTGCGTGGTTTGTCCATCCAGCGGATCTCGAACCGTCCTCCTCTACGATACGTAAGAGGCCCCCTGTCTGTGGTGATGGGAGTTTAGTGAACGCTGCTCCACGTGTTGAAGAAATCAGGAGGAAATGATCTGATCTTATCCACTGCAGACTCAACTTCAGGTTCAGAAAGAGAACGTAGCCATCGCCCAGCAGCGCTCTGCCCACGGCAGCAAAGATGGCCGCCGCAACACTTTGTTTACACAGTAAAGATGGCCGCCATCTCTGGATGTGTTTTAAAGTTGTTGAGCAACTGCATGGTCACCTGTTGAAGGGAGATGATAAACAGAAAGCTAACCGCTAACAGCCTTTAGCGGAGCACCAACTGCAGCTGTTTGGGGCTGACCAGATCGGGACCGGAGCGTTCAGACCGCCAAGACGGATTGGGATTGAGGCGTATCCATCTGCTGCGTGAACGTTTCCTCTGATGGGTCGGAGCCAGTTCAGCGTCCCGATCCGGTCCATGTGTGGGATTCTGACCCGCAGCACCAGTATGGATGGATGGCAGAACCAACATGTCTGCCAGGACCAGCTCAGCGATGATGTAATGGATCAAGAAGTGCTCAAAGATCAGAACCTGACAGAACCAGTCAGCCTGCAGCAGAAAGTCACTCCTGAGTCCCTGGTTCTGATCGGGATCAGCAGAACCAGGAAATAATCAGGTTACAGCTGAAAAACAGAGTGTAAACCTGCCTGAAACCCAAAGTGGATGTGAAAAAGTTTATTCAGCTCTAAGTGCCTCATTGGTCCGTCAGTTTCACACTGTAAAAAACAAGACATTTGTCTTTTCTAGTGGAAATGTCTTTGTCCATTTGACAAAGACAAAACCAACTTATAGGTGACTTTGCAGTAAGAGGAACTTGCTTAAGATCAACAGTTCCTCAGTTCTGGTGTCAAAAGGTGCGATTGTTTCACTGATAATAAAATAGTCTCAGTGAAATCAGTGAAGCTGGTGTTGTTGACACAAACTCCTTTTTCTTGCTGAAACGCTTCCTGTAAATTAGTTTAGAGCTCAGATATTCACAGAATCTAGACTGAAATATTTGGTTGGATTTTGTGTTTTTGCAGTGTAAAGAATCAGAACCGGATCAGAACCGGATGTTCTGTAGGAAGTCTGCAGTGGTTTGGGTTTAATTCAGTAATTAATGCATTTTTATGTTCATCAATCAGCCACTGATCTGAGAATAACATTCATTCATAATAACCAGAAAACTGTAAAAACTCCTTCAAGAGTCACTTTGATTTTTAAGTATAAAATAATTTGATTTCCGGATCAGAACCATCTGCACTTTATCCAGACGAATTGATTTTGGGATGAAACTCAAATCCATAAAGTTTAATTTCAATGTTTGTGCTGAAGTCGTCTTCCTCGATGAAGGTCATCAGGTCAAACAGAACCGGGCCAGAATCTCGGGTTTGACCTGAAGGACTGGATGAGGTTCTGGACTGAACCCGTCCTGGTTCTGGAGAACTGAACCTGGTTCTGTCTGTCAGGGATCTTCCTGATGTAACGGCGGAGGACTTTTCCAGAATCGACCTGGCTCAGTTCAAGTGGATCCACTGGGAGGTGAGGAACCAGAACCAGAACCAGACCAGTGGTCCCACTCTGCACCAGTGTAGCAGAACATCCTATCCACTGGTTCTGGCCCGGTGAGATCCGACGAGCCAGAACCGCTTCTCTCTAATAGATCTGACAAATGAAATGTCTTTCTGCTGACACTGGTTTTACTGGTTTTACTGGATGTTTACTGGTTTTACTGGTTGTTTACTGGTTTTACTGGTTTACTGGTTTTACTGGTTGTTTACTGGTTTTACTGGATGTTTACTGGTTTTACTGGATGTTTACTGGTTTTACTGGTTGTTTACTGGTTTTACTGGTTGTTTACTGTTTTACTGGTTGTTTACTGGTTTTACTGGGTGTTTACTGATTTTACTGGTTGTTTACTGGTTTTACTGGGTGTTTACTGGTTTTACTGGATGTTTACTGGTTTTACTGGGTGTTTACTGGTTTTACTGGATGTTTACTGGTTTTCCTGGTGTTTACTGGTTTTACTGGTTGTTTACTGGTTTTACTGGTTGTTTACTGGTTTTACTGGGTGTTTACTGGTTTTACTGGATGTTTACTGGTTTTCCTGAGTGTTTACTGGTTTTACTGGGTGTTTACTGGTTTTACTGGTTGTTTACTGGTTTTACTGGATGTTTACTGGTTTACTGGTTTTTACTGGTTTTACTGGTTGTTTACTGGTTTTACTGGTTTTACTGGTTGTTTACTGGTTTTACTGGATGTTTACTGGTTTTACTGGATGTTTACTGGTTGTTTACTGGTTTTACTGGATGTTTACTGGTTGTTTACTGGTTTTACTGGTTGTTTACTGGTTTTACTGGATGTTTACTGGTTTTACTGGATGTTTACTGGTTTTACTGGTTGTTTACTGTTTTACTGGGTGTTTACTGGTTTTACTGGATGTTTACTGGTTTTACTGGATGTTTACTGGTTTTACTGGATGTTTACTGGTTTTACTGGATGTTTACTGGTTTTTTACTGGTTGTTTACTGGTTTTACTGGGTGTTTACTGGTTTTACTGGTTTTTACTGGTTTTACTGGATGTTTACTGGTTTTACTGGTTGTTTACTGGTTTTACTGGCGTTTACTGGTTTTCCTGGATGTTTACTGGTTTTACTGGATGTTTACTGGTTTTACTGGTTGTTTACTGGTTTTACTGGATGTTTACTGGTTTTACTGGTTTTTACTGGTTTTACTGGATGTTTACTGGTTTTACTGGATGTTTACTGGTTTTACTGGATTTTACTGGTTTTACTGGTTGTTTACTGGTTTTACTGGGTGTTTACTGGTTTTACTGGTTGTTTACTGGTTTTACTGGTTGTTTACTGGTTTTACTGGATGTTTACTGGTTTTACTGGTTGTTTACTGGTTTTACTGGTTGTTTACTGGTTTTTACTGGATGTTTACTGGTTTTACTGGTTGTTTACTGGTTTTACTGGTTGTTTACTGGTTTTACTGGGTGTTTACTGGTTTTACTGGGTGTTTACTGGTTTTACTGGTTGTTTACTGGTTTTACTGGGTGTTTACTGGTTTTACTGGGTGTTTACTGGTTTTACTGGGTGTTTACTGGTTTTACTGGATGTTTACTGGTTTTCCTGAGTGTTTACTGGTTTTACTGGTTGTTTACTGGTTTTACTGGTTGTTTACTGGTTTTACTGGGTGTTTACTGGTTTTACTGGATGTTTACTGGTTTTCCTGAGTGTTTACTGGTTTTACTGGTGTTTACTGGTTTTACTGGTTGTTTACTGGTTTTACTGGATGTTTACTGGTTTTACTGGTTGTTTACTGGTTTTACTGGTTGTTTACTGGTTTACTGTTGTTTACTGGTTTTACTGGATGTTTACTGGTTTTACTGGTTGTTTACTGGTTTTACTGGTTGTTTACTGGTTTTACTGGTTGTTTACTGGTTTTACTGGTGTTTACTGGTTTTACTGGTTGTTTACTGGTTTTACTGGGTGTTTACTGGTTTTACTGGATGTTTACTGGTTTTACTGGGTGTTTACTGGTTTTACTGGGTGTTTACTGGTTTTCCTGAGTGTTTACTGGTTTTACTGGTTGTTTACTGGTTTTACTGGTTGTTTACTGGTTTTACTGGATGTTTACTGGTTTTACTGGTTGTTTACTGGTTTTACTGGTTGTTTACTGGTTTTACTGGTTTTACTGGTTGTTTACTGGTTTTACTGGATGTTTACTGGTTTTACTGGATGTTTACTGGTGTTTACTGGTTTTACTGGGTGTTTACTGGTTTTACTGGATGTTACTGGTTTTACTGGATGTTTACTGGTTTTACTGGATGTTTACTGGTTTTACTGGATGTTTACTGGTTTTACTGGTTGTTTACTGGTTTCTGGGTGTTTACTGGTTTTACTGGTGTTTACTGGTTTTTACTGGATGTTTACTGGTTTTACTGGTTGTTTACTGGTTTTACTGGGGTTTACTGGTTTTCCTGGATGTTTACTGGTTTTACTGGATGTTTACTGGTTTTACTGGTTGTTTACTGGTTTTACTGATGTTTACTGGTTTTACTGGTTGTTTACTGGTTTTACTGGATGTTTACTGGTTTTACTGGATGTTTACTGGTTTTACTGGATGTTTACTGGTTTTACTGGTTGTTTACTGGTTTTACTGGTGTTTACTGGTTTTACTGGTTGTTTACTGGTTTTACTGGTTGTTTACTGGTTTTACTGGATGTTTACTGGTTTTACTGGTTGTTTACTGGTTTTACTGGGCGTTTACTGGTTTTCCTGGATGTTTACTGGTTTTACTGGATGTTTACTGGTTTTACTGGTTGTTTACTGGTTTTACTGGTTGTTTACTGGTTTTACTGGGTGTTTACTGGTTTTCCTGGTTTTTACTGGTTTTACTGGTGTTTACTGGTTTTACTGGGCGTTTACTGGTTTTCCTGGATGTTTACTGGTTTTACTGGATGTTTACTGGTTTTACTGGGTGTTTACTGGTTTTACTGGGTGTTTACTGGTTTTACTGGATGTTTACTGGTTTTACTGGATGTTTACTGGTTTTACTGGTTGTTTACTGGTTTTACTGGTTGTTTACTGGTTTTACTGGGTGTTTACTGGTTTTCCTGGTTGTTTACTGGTTTTACTGGTTGTTTACTGGTTTTACTGGATGTTTACTGGTTTTACTGGTTGTTTACTGGTTTTACTGGTGTTCACTGGTTTTCCTGGGTGTTTACTGTTTTACTGGTTTACTGGTTTTACTGGATGTTTACTGGTTTTACTGGTTGTTTACTGGTTTTACTGGGTGTTTACTGGTTTTACTGGATGTTTACTGGTTTTACTGGATGTTTACTGTTTTACTGGTTGTTTACTGGTTTTACTGGTTGTTTACTGGTTTTACTGGGTGTTTACTGGTTTTCCTGGTGTTTACTGGTTTTACTGGGTGTTTACTGGTTTTACTGGTTGTTTACTGGTTTTACTGGGTGTTTACTCTGGATGTTTACTGGTTTTACTGGGTTTTACTGGTTTTACTGGTTGTTACTGGTTCTGGTTGTTTACTGGTTTTACTGGTTGTTTACTGGTTTTACTGGGTGTTTACTGGTTTTACTGGGTGTTTACTGGTTTTACTGGGTGTTTACTGGTTTTACTGGATGTTTACTGGTTTTACTGGGTGTTTACTGGTTTTACTGGATGTTTACTGGTTTTACTGGATGTTTACTGGTTTTACTGGTTGTTTACTGGTTTTACTGGGTGTTTACTGGTTTTACTGGATGTTTACTGGTTTTACTGGATGTTTACTGGTTTTACTGGTTGTTTACTGGTTTTACTGTTGTTTACTGGTTTTACTGGTGTTTACTGGTTTTTACTGGGTTTTTGGTTTTACTTTTTTTACTGGTGGTTTTTTTTTTTTTTGGTGTTTTGGGTTTTGGTTTTGTTTTTTTACTGGTTTTGGTTTTACTGGTGTTTACTGGTTTTACTGGTGTTTACTGGTTTTACTGGTGTTTACTGGTTTTACTGGTTGTTTACTGGTTTTACTGGTTGTTTACTGGTTTTACTGGATGTTTACTGGTTTTACTGGTTGTTTACTGGTTTTACTGGTTGTTTACTGGTTTTCTGGTTTTTACTGGTTTTACTGTTGTTTACTGGTTTTACTGGTTGTTTACTGGTTTTACTGGTGTTTACTGGTTTTACTGGTTGTTTACTGGTTTACTGGGTTTACTGGTTTTTGGGTTTACTGGTTTTACTGGATGTTTACTGGTTTTACTGGATGTTTACTGGTTTTACTGGTTGTTTACTGGTTTTACTGGGTGTTTACTGGTTTTCCTGGTGTTTACTGGTTTTACTGGTGTTTACTGGTTTTACTGGTGTTTACTGGTTTTACTGGTTGTTTACTGGTTTTACTGGTGTTTACTGTTTACTGGTTGTTTACTGGTTTTACTGGTGTTTACTGGTTTTACTGGTTGTTTACTGGTTTTACTGGTTGTTTACTGGTTTTCCTGGGTGTTTACTGGTTTTCTGGTGTTTACTGGTTTTCTGGTTGTTTACTGGTTTTACTGGTGTTTACTTTTACTGGTGTTCTGGTTTTCCTGGGTGTTTACTGGTTTTCTGGGTGTTTACTGGTTTTCTGGGTGTTTTACTGGTTTTACTGGGTGTTCACTGTTTTCCTGGTGTTTACTGGTTTCCTGCTGTGTTCTCTCCCTGCTCCTGCTGGGTCAGGGCCGAAACCCTGGCGAACAGGTGAAGATGATCCTGCAGGTGGAGAAGTTTAACGCCCAGCTTCCTGACCATCAGAGGATCGGCGTCTCTGTGGAGATCGAGAAAACCAGAGAGCCGCTGTACGAGCTCTTCCCCTACGGAGACGTGGTACGGAAGCGTCCAGGTTCGGACGGATCCGGTCCGACCCGTCGTTGATCGGGTTCTGGTTGTTTTCCAGGTGTTTGTCAGCAAAGACGTTGCTCGTCAATTTGGCTTCGACTCGGCTGAAGCGGCTCTGAAAGGACTCTACCCTCGAGTGAAGAAGGGGTGAGGGAGCAAAGGTCAGAGGAACGACACAGACGGTTCTGGTTCTGACCCGTCTGTCTCTCAGGGCTGTCCTGATCTGTGCCTGGGCTGAGAAAGGAGCGGACGCTTTGGGTCCTGACGGTCTGCTGCTCCACTCCGACGCGTTTCCTCCTGAGACGCTGGTGGACACGCTGGGAGCCGGAGACACCTTCAACGCCGGCGTCCTCCACACACGCTGTCCAACGGTGAGGCGGCTGGCCTGTTCTCTGGTTCTGATCCGGCCCGGTTCTGATCCATTAACGTTTCTGCCTGCAGGAGGAAGCGTGCAGATGCGCTGGCCTTTGGCTGCCGGATTGCGGGCAGGAAGTGTGGTTTTCCATGGTTATGACGGCATCAGAGACAAGTGATGCAGAACCGACCCGACGGAACCGACCCGACCCGACGGAACCGACCCGACGGAACCGACCCGACCCGACGGAACCGACCGACGGAACCGACCCGACCCGACGGAACCGACCCCCCCGACGGAACCGACCCGACGGAACCGACCCGACCGATGGAACCGACCCGACGGAACCGACCCGACCCGACGGAACCGACCCGACCCGACAGTTCGGAACCTGAAATAACTTCTAGATCTGATCAATAACTCATCAATGACCAATGGTCTATCAACAGAATGTCTGTTTTGACTTAATTTCTATGAATAATAATAATCTGAGCAGAGAGCGTGTTGGTGGATTGTTGCCATGACTCAGCTGTGTTTAGTTTTATAATCAAGCTCTAAATATGATTCAGTAATATTAATAATGTTTACATCAGAGCCACCAAAACATCTTAGAGATGGATAGATTTGATCCAGAATAATGTGTTTCTGTCATGAATGAGGAATAAATAACAAGACCAAATGGCTTTTAGCCTTTGATAGTAGAAACTGGAACTTTGATGATTTTGATCATATTGACTAAATGTAATGTTCATGGCTTGTTTCATAATCGATGACCGCATCGTGCTTTTATGATGTAAAGCACTTTGCTGAAATGTTCTGTTCTAATAAACCTGACTGGTTTAAAAGCTACTTGTAGCTGATCAGTCCACAACCAACTGGGATTAAAGTCTGAATTTAAGCTCATGGGTCACAAAAAAGTGAGAATAATTCAAAGTGAGTTTTCTGGACAGCAGGCCTGAAACCTGAAACGTTCCCACTTCCTGTTCAACTTTAAATTGATCCTTTAGTTTTGTAAAATGATCCTGTAACACCCACTTCTTCTTCAGATGTTTTTATTCCAGCTTCATTTGTTACAGTAAATAACAGCAATACTTAACTGCACATATCAGAACATTTTCCAGGGAACATCAAATATGAGAAAGTGACAGTATTTATTCACAAGTCTGATGTGACGGAAGATCCTGGAAGATCCTGGAAGATCCTGGAATCCTGGAGCAGAAGCTCAGAGACGACTAACTTCAGCCAAGCATGAAAGCAGTTGCTTTTCTAGGGACTTAAAGTTGCTTCACAATTATTCAATCAAATAAAATCACCTCAGATGTAACCTGGGGTAAAACCCGCCCTTAATCCCACCTTTGCTGCTCCCATTGGTTAGAGTGACAGTCAGTCACAGAGCATTCAGCCAATCACGGCACCTGAAGTGGTTTTTCAGGCCTGCTCCAGCTTTCCATCAGGTGTGAGGAGGAGAGCTGTAGACCTGACCAGCCATGAAGTCATCATGCACTGATCTATAAAGGAATTGGCCTGGTGACCCTTTAAAGCAGGGGAGCTCAAGTCCAGTCCTGGAGAGCTACCGTCTCGCCGCGGTCTGTCGCCTCTCGCCGCGGTCTGTCGCCACTCGCCGCGGTCTGTCGCCTCTCGCCGCGGTCTGTCGCCTCTCGCCGCGGGCCTCGGTGAGGGACGGTAAGTAATCTTCATAAAATGACAGCGTGTCTTTATGTTGAATTCGTTGACCTGTCAGTGGCATTAAATATGGAAATGCTGAATGTATGTGGAGAAAACGTGTTAAACTGTTGTGTAATCATCTGTGTGCGTTAGCTAGCATTGAAGCTAAAGTGGAACACAGCGGATCGCTGCACCATGTTAGGTCCACGTTAATGTGAACCACACGTTAAGTGACTGCAGATACTTATTTTAAAAAGCACATAATCGGCTGTGGATGACGGAGGGAATGTAACTGAAATACATATTTTCTTCCAGATGCAAATTGAAAAACCAAGTTGGTAATCACAGGGTGAAGGAGGATATTCACATCATTTCTGTCTTTTTTGATTGTTTGATTTGTGTGTCTTATACTGTGTTTTATTTGGCATTAGATGGAATATGCCCTTTGCTGGGTTATGCTATGAAATTAAATTGGTGTTCTCCTATTTCCCCAGTCCAGTCTGAGCAGCAGAGAGCAGCTGAAGCAGGACAGGCTTTAGGTTTTCCTGAACAGATCGATTCCTCCAGCTGGACGATCAGAACCTGAGAGCAGCAGGTGTTGAGTCAGACACGGACAGGTAGGGAACGAAGAGTCACTTTTAACGGCCAGGTGTGTTTGGCTAACTATATTTCTCCAAGTCAGCTTCTTTATGTTGTTTTAAAAAATTGTAATTGTTGTTTGAAACATTTTATTTTTCAATCCAAAAGTTTTGATCACATATCTGTTTTTTGTTTGACATGATTTTTTTGATTGAATAATTGTGACACTAATGTAACTCCATAGTTTTCTGGATGTGGGCAGTTTGCTGCCTGACACTTGCTAGCGCTAAGCTATCTGGGTCTAACTTACCAAGATCCTGCTTGATAGTTGTAGTTGCCAAAAATATTGATTCATTAATGCTTTCCAGTTTTTTCATCAATTAAATAAAATCGATTTGAAAAAGCCAGTTGTGTTGCCACAAGGTTTCTTTGCTGTATCCACTCGCGTGTTTGTAGAGGAAATAAAACTTCCACAGCGCTCCGAAATAGGGATGCAAAACAAAAATTTATTCCACAGTTTTTGTGAGATTTCCTTTACAAGAGCAGTTGTATCTTATCTAACCTTCACAAACAACTATGTTTGAAAAACCGTGTGGCTCTGTAGATAAACTAGCAGCGCCTTTCCTTTCTTTCCTTGTTAACGCTACAGCGTCCACACCTCATTTGCATAATTGCGAAATGAACACTTAAACTATAAACATACAACTTAAATAAAGCACTCATTGACAACAAAACATTACAAAATTAGCTACATGCAGTACTAATAATTCTTCCTAAACTTCAATAAATTCACTTATTAAATTACATATTAAACAAAATGTTTTAACAATAACTGAATATTACTTCACATTAACTTGGCCTCCACACCAGTGAATCAAGTCTGGTGTTTTCTCGCCATGGTGAAAACAGCATCAGCTCCGTGTCCTTTTAAACAGTTCTGCATCTTGAGTTTATTTGGGTTTTGTTGGAATTAAATTGTAAACATTAATAACCTACATCAGCCGATCATAAACAACATGAGCTGTTCAGATCACAGCTTTCCCCCAAAACACTGGCTGACCCCGAAACTAAAATGGCGCTGGTCTAAATTTAGTCATTTAGTTAGTAAATTTAGTCTTCAGTATCTTGAAAAACCACAACAGAAAATATGGGAATTCATGATGAAACTGGAATTGAGCTTCCAGCCGTGCTGTGAAGCCTGAAGCAGAAACTCTGACATTGTTGAACTATGACATCATCAAGTCTACCTTGTAAATACAACAGTGAGTTTTTATCAAAGAGGTTTTATTTATAAGGAACAGCATAAAAACCTCCCAGGTGTTCAGTTACATGTTAATGTTTTAGTCTCCTTGCAGTTCAGCTGAGATTCAGAGGAAGATCTGCTTGGCTCATAAATACAATGATTGAACTGGAAAATGTCAGAAAGCAGGTTTATGTTTGTGTCAGTAAAACTTGTTGAATCTGCAGCTGCTGCATCAGCCTGTCGATATTTACATCTATTTATATCAGGTCAGCAGAAGACTATGGCCACACGTCTGTGCTTCTAAGGTTCGGTTCCACGGTCCAGTCTGTGTTTAGCCTCCTCTGGTGGTTCACACACACACACACACACACACACACACACACACACACACACACACACACACACACACACACACACACACAGAGCTAAACATGCTCCCTCACATTCTTTCACAGAACCAGTACCAATGCTTAGCTGCCCTCGGCTCTGTGGTGCCCTCTAGTGGCAGCTCCAAGGTGTTGGGGAGTAAAAGGTGGTCGCAGGTGGTCATAATGTTCTGGCTGCCTGGTCCAGTTCTGCTTAGACAGCGGTGCTGGTGGTGTTGCTGGTGGTGGGCTGGATGTCGCTGCTTCCTGCCATCATTTCCCTCAGGCCTTTGCTGAAGTGCAGGTTGGCTCCGATCATGATGAAACCCTGTGGAGCAACGCAGCCTGATGATTGGTTGCTGCCGTCAGCTGCGCCGGTCAGGAGACCAGCTGCACATCGCATCCCCAAACCATTATTAAAGGAAACCTGTGATGCAAAATTTACACATTCTTGTGCTTCCGTTTGAGTCTCGTCTGCTTCTGCAAACACCCCAAGCAATTTCAAAAATACAGAGGTGGTTTTGATTATAAGTTGTTTTTTTTAGTGTCTGGAAAATTTGCCGTTACAAAATCCTCCTGAATATAGCATCACAAATCAGCAGGTACTGCCCTGTTTCCTGGCAACCCCAGTGAACCCCTTTAGAGCTGCATTCTCATTGGTTGTGCAGGAGGTTCCACTAATGCTTTTCAAAGATGTTTGGTTGTATAATTGCATCCGTTTGCAGCCGTTCTTGTGCAGTGAAACCATTGAGGTGGGGGCGTGGCCAGCAGCAGCTTATTTGCGTTTAAAGAGAGAGAGCTCCTAAAACAGCTCATTTTGAAAAAGGCTTAATATCCAGAGCTGACCAGAAGAAAATCTGATTGAGTTTGTGCAAAAACTGTAATGAATATGTTTTGTATAGATCATAGACCGGTCCCGATCTGTCAAAGGAAGCATCGCCTTTAAAGATTAAACAAACGGATGTAAAACTCTGCAAACATCAGAGGTGAACACACATTGTGATACTCCACCACCTCCTCGATGAAATCCATCCCATCAGCCAGCGGGATCCGGACTCCCCTCTTGGTCCAGTCTAGACTCAGAACCAGAACAGAACCACTCAGAGCAGTGCTGGAACTCAGAAGTTCTGGTTCCAGACAAGGAGCGGGTTCTTACTGTTGATGAGAGGAACCACGGACATCTGCAGCATGGTCTTCAGAGGAGCCTGCAGAGGAATCAGCTGCAGACAGACAGATGGTCAGAACCGGTTCTGTGGGTCCATCAGGAGGCATTGAAACCAGGAAGTAAAGACACACTTACAGCGAGAGACTCCAGAGCTGACTGGTTGGAGAAGATCTTAAATCTGGAAGACAACAAAGATGTCTGATCTATCCAGAAATGAGGCATTGGAGCAAAATTTGACTGTAGACCAAGATCTGGTTTCAGAATTAA